AGTACTTAAAAAACAAATTAATATAAGCTGCCATTTGCCAAGCACAAATCAGTAATGTTGAAACAAAACAAAATACATATTTATAGGCAGAGGACGGTGTAATGATTTGTATAAAGTTAGTGCCAATCAGAGAAGAATCAAATTATTATAATTAATGTGAATAAAATATTCGAGATTGCATTGAAAAACACAGATAACCAACTTTAAAGTGGTTCATAAACCATGCTTTTTTTTGCATTTGATAGTTAATTCATACTGCATTTGAACATATCAGCATTCATGAAACTAAATTTTAAGTAGTTTACATTAGCTGTGGGCTAGAATATTTCCATTATCAGCTTACTCTATATAAAAAAAAATAAAAATATAAAAAAAATAAAATAGTACTGACATCTTCAGGCAAATGGCATAAACAACATGAATAAATGAAAATAACACCAGAAGCTCAAAGACCCTGGAGTCTAATCAATACACGTGTTAGAGCAAAAAGAACAAAAACGTAATAAAAATAAAAATTACTCCATTGTGTTTATATGAACTCTGCCACGCAAACAAAAACCTGCTCAAGTACTATTTGCATGAAGTCAAAATAATCCAAAGAGGATGTTTTAATCAGTCCACAGTTAGAAAAAAATGACTAATGAAAGAGATGATGAATTATTGTGTGTACTCTCAGTGGAAGTGAGCACCTTGTTTGGACTTGCGAGTTAAAAAAAGAATCCTTGATGAACCGCCGATGGCTATAGGAGACACTGATGCTTCATGGCACAAACAAGTCATGGTGCTTGGCTACACAGAGGATGGTGTTGGCAAGACAAGATGGCAACTGACTAGAAGATATTACTGATGTTTGTCTAAAGAAAGTACATTAACACCACACGACATTGCAGGGAGCGTGATTGTTTCCCTGTTAGCACTGACAGAAATCATGAACTGTAAGAGCAATGTGGAGTGCAAAGTGAATGGAAATGTACAGAAGATAACAGATAGAAGGCAAACTGCTTCTATTTGTCTTGAAAGCTGTCGAACATCAGTTATACTGTAACTTAAACACATCGTTTCAGTTAGCTGAACAAAAAATAAAAAACAGCAACATGTAAATCCAACTTGATGTGTGAACTTGGATCAGAATCAGAGTAAATTGTACTACTGTGCCCAAGCCTGGTGGACCTGTGTGTGTATTTATGGAGAGTTGGGGTAGACTGTGGGGCTTCATATCAAATTTATTATAAGATATGGTAATTTTGGGGTCTGTGTGAATGCTTCTTACTCTTTCTAATATTCATTTGGCAGCAGTTAGTAATAGGTACCTCATATCAAAGTGAAATCCATGCAAATGTCAAGATGCAAGGTTTTTACAGCAGAGCGTTGGGTAACAAGAGCAGGATTTTTCTTCACTCTACCTGTCAGTGCTCATAATGTTATGGCTGATTAATACAGGTTTGGGGCTCTAAAATAAATTCAAGGATGCACTTTGAAGTGAACAGCTTTGAATATTGCTTCACAAAAATATTCAGGTTTCAAGAGAAGTTATTGAGGTGAACCGGCTTCTGAATCTTTAGGCACTTTTAGAAAACAACAACTGGGACTGAGATGCCGCCTCACCACCTCAGTGCACTTCATAAATGCTCCTGTTACGCTTTTGTGCCACCAAGCTAGGTAGTAATAGAGCCGTAACAGTTGACGTGTGAAATGGTAAACTGACTTTGCGACATTAGAAAGTGATGTAGTGATGAAATAAGCTCTGTGTTGCAACCTGCCGTTGAGATTTAAGAGTCTGAACAACAAACACATGCCAAGTAGAATTATGGCTTAAAGCAACTTTGCATTTCGTGGAAACAAATTAGTTAAGTAAAAATATTTTAGCTCCACAGTTTATTCACCCTATGTTAAAAATGATATGAAGGAAAAGTCAAACATGTTTAATGTGTAGTGGTTCATAATGCACTCTTTTGGTTCTTTTTGTTTCTGGAAGCTCATGCAACGTAGCTGGCTTAATCAGTGATTTATGAAAAATCAGATTTAATTTAAAGACAGACTGGCTTTTGCAGCCATTTTGCTGAGCTGATTTGTGGAGGAACCTTTTTATTCCTTTGATAAGATTAAATGTGCTTTTTTGACTGATTGACGTTAATCCAACATACAGTCATGAACTGAACATGCATTTGTTCCTAAAGTGATCCAATGACGTCCAATTGAAATATCTGTGCACTGCAGTCATGACAACATATTCTAGCTTAGGCCATTTTTTTTGTTTTCCATGTTTTTGCAATACAAATATTCCAATTGACCCTGTTCCATGTGAAAATGCACCTGATTACTCATGACTGGAATTGTGGGTTTCCGATAGACCTTGAGATTGAATGTTTGCACCTTGATCGGGTAGAGGTGGGTTCAATAAATCAAAAAAGAATAAAAAGCAACTCACCAAGAGAATTTTCTTAATACTTCAGCACCATGAAGACAGAGAAATAGGTGAGTATTAATTCCAAGCGTGCGTAAGCAGAATGCTATGGCTGGAAAAGTGACAAATGATGATTTTTCCATAAATAATACAGAATGTAAAAATATTCTGCATGATTTATTTGTTGCATGGGCTGATGTATAAAGCTGCAACAGCAACACAACGAAATGGATGAAGTAGAAGTATACCAATGAAAATAAATAAGAAAAGAATAAAAGGAAAAATGACAATGGGGTAAAAAGGATAAATATCTTGTGGCTTACATTATAATTATTTTATGTTCTTATTTTAAGTGTCCACAATGAATATTTGAATATTTTGCACTCATTGATTCTTAAAAGAATCTACTGCACCATGAAAATAATGTAAATGTATCAGCATGTGCTGTTGTATTGTCAAAATGCAGGAATGATTTACCTGTTAGAGCAGCACGGACAAAGCACATTGAAGCGGAACGTCTCTCGTACCCTCCTGGGAAAAATGGAGTAATAACTGGAAAGCATAGCCATATGTGTTCTAAAGACGAGGCAATCCAGAAAATTACACACAGCATTAAGCGGATCAGACCAGAAGGGAGAAACTGAAAAATATCAAAGGTTGGCCAAGATTGCAATCTGACAAATAAGGATAAAGAAAGAATCATTAAACATTAATCATTTTAAGTTGTATCACCCCACACTCCATGAGACTATCCCAACTGGATACACTCCTTAGCAAAGGTAATATTTTATCTTCTACTATTGAAGGTGATAATGTTTTTGCCAGTGTTCATTTTACCCATCCAGGCTGTCACATTGTAAAGTTTGCAGATGATACAGCGG